GCTGCTCTGGCCCTTTTGGGCAGTACTTCCTGCAGCACCTAATTGCCACTGTGGTCCTTGGATGTGGCTATGCATGACCTCCTGGGGGCGATGTGGGAACATCAGTTGCCCCAGGCTTCGCTGACCTAGATTCTAGTCCTGTGGATCCTTAAACAGGAAAATAGCAAAAGATGAAAGAAAATAATTGTCAACACCCCAAGTGAGAAGGCGGGAGAGATGGAGGACAAGAGAAGAGAGAACTATGACAAACAGGATTATCTGTAAGCAATCCTGCCTTGTCATATAGTACATCCCAATTCTCCCATTTTACCTGGCAAAAGCCCTTACAGACAGCAACTGTATCCCAGAACTTATCTGTATAGTAGCCAAATGCAAGAGTCTGCAGCAAAAGACTGAACCATTTGGTAGTGGTGGGTGAAACTAAGTGGCTGCCTTGTTAGTAGTAGAAGCAGGTATTTAAGCCCTCCAAGCTCAAATTATTATCATTACCCAAGAGCGGTGACACTTCTGACATGACAATGAGATTTCATAGCTTGGTCATACAAGAACAACATTCTTGCTCCTTCTGGGCAATAGCAGGTGGCCTTGTCTTTATTACAGTTCTGAAAACAAATTTTTAAGAGTTTGTGTAATATTTAACATGACCATCCACTCAGGGAGAAAAAACAGTTGGACACAAAGGGAAATTAGGGAGATAATCAAGTAATTCAAATCACTCATTGTTGCAAGAGAGAGATTCAATAGCAACTAGAAGTGCCTCCTTGAGAGAAAGCCATTTCAGAAATGCTTTTCACAATTTCAAAAGGAGCACCTACAGACATTTGAAAAATGAATGACAAATGTCTGAGGGCTAACAGGCCAGTACTTTGGCAGTTGCAGGAAGAAGCAGTCTCTTCACATTGAGATGGGAACCAATGTCCTCTACCTGAATGGTCTGCATATTGCAGCAATTGCAGGAAATTAACCTTGAAGCCTCCACATAGAAAGTAGAGGACTTAAGGGAGCATAATTGTACATTCATCCCTCTCTCTAATACCTAGCAGGTGAAGGAATTGTCAGCTACTACGGTGATAAGGCACTATGGAAAACCCTAAAATAGAAGGAAAGATAGATGTCCCAATCTGAGTGTACAAATTTAAGTCCAGTTCCTCAAGGACAATAAGGCCATTGTGGAGAAACTAAATGAATTCTTTGCATCAGTCTTCACGGCTGAGGATGTGAGGGAGATTCCCAAATCTGTGCCATTCTTTTTAGGTGACAAATCTGAGAAACTGTCGCAGATCGGGGTGTCATTAGAGGAGGTTTTGGAACAAATTGATAAACTAAACAGTAATAAGTCACCAGGACCAGATGGTATTCACCCAAGAGTTATTAAGGAACTCAAATGTGAAATGGCAGAACTGTAGTTCTGTAGTTTATAACCTATCATTTAAATCAGCTTCTGTACCAAATGACTGGAGGATAGCTAATGTGATGCCAATTTTTTAAAAAGGCTCCAGAGGTGATCCTCGCAATTACAGGACAGTAAGCTTCATTCCCGTACCGGGCAAACTTGTTGAAACTATAGTAAAGAACAAAATTGTCAGACACATAGATGAACATAATTTGTTGGGGAAGAATTGACATGTTTTTTGCAAAAGGAAATCATGCCTCACAATCTACTATAATTCTTTAAGGGGGGTCAACAAGCATGTGGTCAAAGGGGATCCAATGGATATAGTGTTCTTAGATTTTCACAAAGCCTTTGACAAGGTCCCTCACCAAAGGCTCTTAAGCAAAGTAAGCTGTCATGGGATAAGAGGGAAGGTCCTCTCATGGATCTGTAACTGGTTAAAAGATAGAAAACAAAGGGTAGGTTTTCAGAATGGAAAGAGGTAAATAGTGGAGTCCCCCAGGGGTCTGTACTGGGACCAGTCCTATTCAACATATTCATAAATGATCTGGGAAAGGGGGTAAACAGTGAGGTGGCAAAATTTTCAGATGATACAAAACTACTCAAGATAGTTAAGTCCCAAGCAGACTTCAAAGAGCTACAAAAGGATCTCACAAAACTGGGTGACTGGGCAACAAAATGGCACATGAAATTCAATGTTGATAAATGCAAAGTAACGCACATTGGAAAACATAATCCCCACTATACATATAAAATGATGGGGTCTAAATTGGCTGTTACCACTCAAGAAAGAGAATTTGGAGTTATTGGGGATAGTTCTCTGAAAACATCCAGTCAATGTGCAGCAGCAGTCAAAAAAGTGAACAGAATGTTGGGCATCATTAAGAAAGGGATAGATAAGAAGACATAAAATATCATATTGCCTCTATATAAATCCATGGCACGCCCACATCTTGAATACTGCATGCAGATGTGGTCGCCCCATCTCAAAAAAGATATATTGGAATTGGAAAAGGTTCAGAAAAGGGCAAGAAAATGATTAGGGGTATGGAACAGCTGTCATATGAGGAGAGATTAATAAGACTGGGACTTTTCAGCTTTGAAAAGAGACAACTGGGGGGGAGGGGAATATGACGGAGGTCTATAAAATTATATCTGTTGTGGAGAAAGTAAATAAGGAAGTGTTATTTACTCCTTCGCATAACACAAGAACTAGAGGTCACCAAATGAAATTAATAGGCAGCAGGTTTAAAACAAACAAAATGAAGTATTTTTTCACACAATGCAGTCAGCCTGTGGAACTCCTTGCCAGAGGATGTTGTGATGGCCAAGACTATAACAGGATTCAAAAAATAGATAAATTCATATGGAGGGCATTGCCATCAAAGGCTATTAGCCAGGATTGGCAGGGATGTTGTCCCTAGCCTCTGTTTGCCAGAAGCTGGGAATGGGTGACAGGGGATGGATCACTTGATGATTATCTGTTCTGTTCATTCCCTCTGAAGCATCTTGCATTGGCCACTCTCGGAAGACAGAATACTGGGCTAGATAGATCTTTGATCTGACCCAATATGGCTATTCTTATGTTCTTATTCCTTCTCTAGGAGGAAACACCCCAAGCTACACCCTCTGAAAATCCTACAGTGAAATACCATCTTCATTCAACTTCTAGGATGTCAAGTCTAGGTGACATGAGCTGGGGAAACTGACTTGTCTCAGGAACAGATACTCCAGTTGAAGGGCATTTATCAAGGATAAGAACTTGGTGATGCTCCTGTGCTCAAAGATGAAGAGCAACAAAGGAGGCAGTAGTATCATTTCTGACATGTCTTATTTTTCTCAAAAGTACTGAGTCAAGAGGAGAGGAGGGGAACACTATCACAGTTCCTTGCCTCAATCTCAAGCAAATGAATATATCCACCAAAATTGCGATTGCAGCTCTTGCCAGGACTCGTTTAGCATGGTTATCTTGCTGGAAGCACATTAATAAACTGTTGGAGACGCCAGGAAAGTGAAGGCTCCATTCACTCATCCTTGCAAGAGGTACAGGCGAGTCTCATCTTACACAGGGGTTCCGTTCCGCGGTTAGCGCGTAAAGCGAAAACCGCATATAGTCAAAATTACAGTGAGGTCAATGGCAGGCGGAATCGCCTGCACTACAGGTATAATATTAAAATTGTTATTTTTCTCTCTTTTTTTGTTTTTTGTTTGTTTTTGTCAACCATGTAAAGCTGAAATTGCGCGTAAGATGCGACAGACCTGTACACTTTTCCAAGGCAGACAGGGGATAGAGGCACTGCTAAGGTACAGAGACTGGGGAAGGAGAAGGACAGAACATGGTGCTGTGTTTTCCATGCTGCCCTGTTCATATATGTTAGTTCAGTATGGCTGTGTACTAGAATAGAGAAGTTCCTAAGCTTGCAGGTCCAAAAGAACTGCCTAAGGGTATGTCTACACAGCACAATCCTGATGGCAGTGTGTAGAGTACATACACTGCATCCTCCTCTAGAATGGGTATAAACAACATTCTAGATAGTGAGGCACTGTTTAGGCACATAAAGACATGCCAAAACACTCTCTCTACATGCTCAAGCAGTTCCTCCCACATCTATACTGCTATTTTTTAGCAGTGTAATGTCCTGGTGCCTCCCCACTGCCAGAGTCTTTTCATGCAGTGAAGAAGCTGTCACAAAAGACTCCAGCAGCAGGGAAAGACTCTGGCAGCAGGGAGACAGTGGGGAAAGGCTCCGGCAGCTCCCCGTGGCAGGGAAAGTGGGAAGTTGCCAGAGCCTCTCCCTGCGACAGTGAAAAACTCATCAGTGCGGAAAGGCTCCCTCAGCTCTCCGCTGCATCCCCCTGGCCAGAGCCTTTCCGTGCCATATTTAGCTACCCACTGTAGTGTGAACACAGCTTGTTTTTTGCTGCAGCACACACTATATGTCACTGACAGAGGTGTGCAATGTAGATATACCTTAATGCTGCAACATAACAATACTGAAGGTACACCTTCCAAGAAATGAAAGATGCCCAAGTCTAAGAGGCAGATAAAGTGATGATGCAAACCAGATATGGGTGCTGGAGAAGAAGTAAAGACCCACAATAACTGGAGGGAGAGAAGCACCAAATATGGTTGACTTTTTGATAGACTAAGAGAAGGAAAGGACATCTTCCATGGAAAAAAATTAAAAAGTACATTTGAAGGAGGATGGCTAAAGGTAGACGTGAACCCACAGGACAGGGTGCAAGCCAACTGCAAAATGACCCAAGAATTGAAAGATCCACCATGATGAAATCAGAACAAAGGAAACTGGAAATATGAGATGTCTCTGGATAGAAGATGCCGCTAGCACAAAGAAGGAGAGAAAACTCCTTTCTCTGAGAAACAAAACAATCATAATATGGAGTGAGGATGGTGGAGAAAGGGTCTTCATGGGACCTCCATATTCTATTATGTCTTCATCCATCCAACTCTTTCCCTCCCAGAATCTAAAACTCTGGGGAGGTTCTGCCAATTTCGTCTTTGCATCTACCTCTACATTCCTGGTGAGAAGCCACCTGATGCTGGCAAAGAGTGGAAAGTTCCATGGTTCTGGCCCTCACAGAGATAACATCTGTAGAGAGAGATGTCAAAAGAAATGGATATGTAGGTAGAAACATTTCCCAAATCTATGTGGAGGGCTCTGGTAACCAGTATAGAGTGGGTTGTAGTCAAGACAACCACTGCAACATCATAAGCCCTATGAGACCTCATTCTGGCCTCTGTTGAACATGGGACCACATCTATGAAAACTTGGAACAAGAACACAGAAACAACTTGGCATCTATCCCATAACACTGGACAACGAGAATCTAGATTATCAGACAAAGCCAGGTATTTCCATGTTATGAGGAAGGCACTGAAAATTTACTTTATGCTGGTTCCCATTCCTCAGAAGCCACATCCTAGATGGTAAAGTACAGCAGGAAGAATGCTTTTTATTTTTTAAAAACAAGTTTTGAGTCTTGTAGGCCCAGAAAAATGAATGTCCTGTGGAAGTGATTCCAGCTCTACAAGACATATCAGTATCCTGGAATTGAAGAATGCTGGGGTTGGCCAGGATGTGCACTGAAATCAAGGCTAGTTATTGAGAGGTTAACACCTTCAAGGCATACAAAAGGCACAATGGAGAGAATGGGGCTCTCATCTTAGGCCATGTCTACACTAGCAAACTTACAGTGGCACAGCTGTACCAATGCAGCTGTGCTGCTGTAAGATCGCTCATGTAGCTGCTCTACACAAGCTCTCTCCGTTCAATATAATAAAACCACCTAAATGAACAGGGACACAGCGCTATATACATGAGCACTTACGCTCACAAAATTTATGTCACTCGGGGGGTGTTTTTTCCTGAGCGACGTAAGTTTTGCCGACATAAGTGAGAGTTTAGATGTGGCCTTAAAATGCTGCTCTATCCTAAAGTGACGGTGGGGGGGGGGGGGGGGTAAGAAGGGTTGTGGAAGTCCATATTCATTGAATCTCAGTGATTTCAATTTCCAATTTCCTCAGGTTACAAGTAAAAAATTTGTTTCCTCTCACTTTCCCACCCACTCCACCCGCCCTGCTCCCCCGCATAACTCCACAAGCTCATCCTGGGTTCTGACAGTCAAGCTGGTTTCTCTCCATCTCTCACAACAGCACCACAAATAAAGGTTCTTTAGGCTCAGTTAAGCCCTTAATTAAACCTATGCGATCCTGCAACCTTCAGATGCTGTTAGGAAGGATAGGGGAATGGATTTTTTTTTATATTTGGGATTTTTATTTGTAAATAAAATCAAAAAAGTCATACCACTCACAAAAATTATCCTAGATAATAAAGGATCTTACTTGGATTTTGGGTCACAAATTATTTATGTAGAGAAACTATTGCATTTTGGTAGCTATAGCATAACAGTGATGTTGATCCAAATGCACCAGCATCTATCTTGGTTGCACATGTATCATAGTAATTATGCATGGAAATGAACAAATTATATATCTTCCTAGTCACTTGCCAATGTAATTACCACAATACACAATCACAGTAACTGTGCACACAAATTATGCATACATGTAGTTCTGAAATTTTAAATGTTGCCTTCAGCATCTCTATTTTGAAATTCTTACATAAACTTTCATCCACCAAATATAAAAAGTGTTAAATTTTAAAAAGATATGTGCATTTACTCAACCTTTCCTCAGTTGAGAATAAAAAATAAAACAATCCAGTCAGTTTCCTATGTTCTCCAAGCTAATATAACACATTAGCAAAATCTCACCATTGCCATAGGCTTTACTAATTTAAAATGAGTGAAAAAGATATATAAAGAAACATGGCCTTTATTTCTCTCTGTATATACGCATTTATTAACCTTCAAATAACTTCATAAAGAATACTAAAAAGGCTAGGAATTGCTTTGAAAAAAGAATAAAGCATAAAATCAACATCTTTAAGAACACCTGTCTAAATTTTCATTAGCTTGTTCCAGGTCTAATAAAGTTCAGTGGAAGATTTCCAAAGGCAGTTTTTTATCTTACACACTTAGAACTACAGTATCTGCTTATACTTCAGACTAGAAATATTGAGAAGACTCAAACCTGTGAAAGACATTTGACATTTTTGCTAATGTACATAAACAACAAAATGGAAAACATGCATTCGTTTTTCAAGGCTAGATTCTGATCCATCCAAATTAACATAAAAAATCATTTTGCTAGGCCAAAAGAATTTATTATAAAGTATCTCAGAGAATAAAACATCTCAGATTACATGACAGAGATGATAAATATTTAAAGACTATTGTATTCTGGCAGATCACGTCGTAGTCTTATTGCCTTCAGCTTCTCTACTTTGATTTTTGCTTTCAGTAGCTCTTCTTCCAGCTGCTGCTTTCTTTTCAAGCCATCCCTCTTTTCTTGGACGTAAAGCCCAATTTTTCTTTGATTTTCCAAGATTATCTGATGCTCCTCTTTCAGCATTTGCAACATCTGTGGCTCATACCCACACGCTGGCCTAAAGCGTTCTCCAACCTCAAGCCTAAAAAAATCATCTCTTCTTGGAATGGGAGATGAAGATAACATCATTCTCATATCAACAGAAGACAGTGAAGTTGAAGGAGATCTCTCCATAACATGCACCAATTGGTGTTCTTCTCCTTGTTCTAAGTCCTCACTCTGCTGTGAATCTACAGCCAAGGAAGGAGGAGGTTTGACATCCTCTTCTGGTTCCAACTCCATTGTGACAGTGGCAGGATGGTGATCCAACACTGCTTGTGGGGAACTGGTACCAGCAACTGTTTCTTTATCTATGTTAGCACTAAAACATATATATAATAATTAAGTCATTATCTGTAAACAAAAGCCATTATATACAAAAATAGGAGCAGATTTAACTTGTGATAAATATTGTAATTTCCTGCAATATATCTTGGAAGAACTTACTTTATTAAGTTTAGGTATTAAGATGAGCTAGGACCTAGGACTGTATACAACTTCCCCAGTGGGGAGAGGTGACAGATGTAAGCCCTGGGAAGTATATAGGATTTCAAGAGACTATACTGAATTGTGACAAACAAATGTGTTCTTTTTGGGACACCTCAATCTGGGACAGTTCCTCAGATTTGTCACCTAAAAAGAATGTGTCATGTGTGAGAATCTCCCTCATATCCTCTGCAGTGAAGACCAATGAAAAGAGTTCATTCCGTTTCTCCGCAATGGCCTTGTCTTCTTTGAGTGCTCCTTTAGCAGCTCAATTGTCCAGTGGCCCCACTGATTGTTTGGCAGGGTTCCTGCTTGTGATGTACTTAACAGCAAAAATGGTTTTAGTTTGTGTGTCTTTTGTCAGTTGCTCTTCAAATTCTTTTTTGGCCTGCCTAAGCACACTTTTACACTTGACTTGCCAGAGTTTATGTTCCTTTCTATTTTAGTCACTAGGATTTGACTTCCAATTTTTAAAAGATGTCTTTTTGTCTGTAACCGCCTCTTTTACTCTATTGTTTAGCCATGATGGCTTTTTTGGGAGGGTCATCTTGTAGTTGTTGGTTTTTTTTATTTGGGGTACACTTTTAATTTGAGCCTCTATTAGGGTGTTTTTTAAAAGTTTCCATGCAGCTTGCAGCCATTTAACTCGTGACTGTTTGTTATAACTAGCCTCCCCATTTTTGTGTAGCTTCAAAGTTAAATGCTACTGTGGTTGGTTTCTCTGGTATTTTTCCCCTTACAAGGATGTTAAACTTAATTACATTATCGTCACTATTACCAAGTGGTTCAGCTACAGTAAAAGCTGTTTTATCCAGCATGTTGGGGAAACGGGGGGTGCCGGTAAGTGAAAAATGGTGGTTAACTAAGAGGGAGGGAGTTTGGGTGTGGGAGGGGATGTGGAGCGCAGGCTCTGGGAATGAGTTTGGGTGTAGGAGGGGGCTTGGGGCACAGGAGGGGGTGCAGGATGCCGGATCCAGGGGTCGCTCACCTCAGGTGGCTCCCCGCAAGCAGCGACCTGTCCTGGCTGCTCCTAAGTGGAGGCACGGCAGGCAGCTCTGTGTGCCGCTTCCGCCCGCAGGAGCTACCCCTGCATTTCCCATTGGCCGTGGTTCCCAGCCAATGGGAGCTGTGTTGCTAGCGCTCGGGGTGGGGCAGCATGGAAAGTCGTCTGTCGGGCCTCCGGCTGGGAGCAGCCAGGACAGTTCGCCGCTTATGGGGACCTGCCCGAGGTGAGTGGCCGCAGGATCCGGCACCCTGCATCCCATCCCAGGTCCCAAGTCCCCTCCCGCACCCAGACTCCCTCCCAGAGCCCACGCTCCACACCCTCTCCCGCGCCCCAACCCTTTGTCGGCCCTGCACCAACCGGACTATAAAACAAAATTTTAATGAAGATCAGAAATGCCGGTTTATAGAGCTTTCTGGTTGGTGAAGTGCCGGATAAAAAACAGCTTTTATTGTATTATCACTTCTTGGTGATCCTGTGCTCCACTTAGGACTAAATCAAGAATTGCCTCTACCCTTATGGATTCCAGGACCAGCTCTTCAAAAATGCAGTCATTAATGGTGTTTAGAAATTTTCTCTCTGCATCCCATCCTGAGGTGACATGTTTCCAGTCAATATGAGGATAGTTGAAATCTCCCATTATTTTGAGGTTTTAACTGTTTTGTTTTTGAAGCCTCTCAAATCTCCGTGAGCACTTCACAATCACAATCACCATTCCTTGTCAGGCGGTGGTATAATCTTCCTGCTATACTCATTATTCAAGCATGGAATTTCTATCCATAGAGATTCTATAGTATTGTTTGATTCATTCAAGATTTTCAGTATATTTGATTCCATGCTTTCTTTCACATGTAGTGCCATTCCCCCACCAGCACAACCTACTCTCTCATTCCGATATATTTTGTACCCTATTACTGCGTCCCATTGATTATCATAATTCCACCAAGTTTCTGTGATGACTATGATATCAATAGCCTTATTTAATACCAGGCACTCAGGTTCACCCATCTTAGCTTTTTAATTTCTTGCATTTGTATACAAACAATTTTAAATTTTGTCAATATTTAGTTGTTTGCCTTCATGTGATGTAACTGAAAGGCACTCCTTTTCATTTGCCTGTTTCTCTTCAGAGCCTACCTGTACTTTATCAACTTCTATCCTCTTCTCTTTACTAGGTTATAAAGTATTCCCTTTAATAAATCCTCCCCTAAGGGATGTCTCTGTTCTTCCACATCTGTCATCTTTCCCCCAGCCCTTAGTTTTAAAATTCCTCTTTGACATTTTTAATTTTACATTCCAGCAATCTGGTTCCATTTTGGTTTAAGTGCAGCTCATCCTACCTGTACAGATCCTCCTTTTCCCGAAAGGTTCTCCAGATCCTAATAAACCTAACTCCCTCCTCCAAACTCCATCATCTCATCCACACATTGAGACCCTGCAATTCTATCTGTTTAACTAGCCCTGCATGTGGAACTGCAAGCATTTCAGAGAATGCTACTAATGAGGTCCTGACTTTAACCTCTTACCTACCAGCCTGAATTTGGCCTTCAGGACCTCTCTCCTACCTTTCCCTATGTTCCTGGCACCTACGTGCTCCCCAGCACCACACAGAAGTCTGTCTAGATGTCTTGAGAGGTCTTCACACCTGGCAGGTTCTCCCAGTCATCACAAATCCAACTATCTATATTTTTAATAACTAAATCTCCCATTACTATTACCAGTCTCTTCCTAATAACAGGGGTCCCCTCTCCCAGAGAGGTAGCCTCAGTGTGAGAAGATACCATGACATCATCTGGAAGAAGGGTTCCAGCTATGGGATTATTTCCCTCTGCTCCAGTTTGATATTCACCTTCCCTGAGATTTCATCCTCCTCAACAGCACAGAGGTTGACAGATGAGGGGGTGGGACCACTCTATGGCATCCCAGAAAGTCTCATGTATGTACCTCCCTGTCTCCCTTAGCTCCTCCAATTAAGCCATTCTGGTCTGAAGAGCCCAGACGTGGGCTTTATGGGCCATGAGTCACTTGCACCAAATGCACACATTTGCTACCTGCCCACAAGGAAGCAATCACGCATGCTGCATTAAATGAAATAAACTGGATAGCCCCCCACTCTGCTGCTGGACTTCTGCGTGCGTGCGTGAGTGAGTAGCTATGAGGTAGCAAGAGAGTCATAACATGGAATAGAGGTGGGAAACCACAGACAGGGAGGAAGGCTGGTCAGCCAAGAAAGCTAAGTACCACCAGAATTAAGACCCATGCACTCTTAATTGCCCCCCAGTGCATACGCATTATGATATAGTTTTTAATTACATGATTACATACTATTTTCTTCCACAGGAGCCCTCTCTTCTTCAGTGCATAGGATGGATGATGCTTACTTAATGATCAACTATTCAATATTTTGGTTATCCTCCTTGTTGAATTTGTGGACCGAGGCCATATTTACTGCACACTTTTTAAATTCTGCTCGGAAGACCGAATTATTAATTTCCTTATGAACTTTTCTATGGTGCTCACCACTACAGAAGCTGAATGCTTCACAGATATTAATGAATTTATTTTCACAACACTCCGACGAGAGTGCTATTACAGTATTATTATTCCCATTTTACAGATGAGGATCTGCCTAGAGTCCTGTGTGGATACACAAATATGTATCCGCATCCGATCCGCAAAAATTATCTGTGGATATCCGTGGATTTGTAGGGCTCTCCACTGGGGGGTGGGCTGAGGCTCGGAGGCATCCCCCCCCCACCAGAGCCCAGTCGGGGAGAGCCTCTAGGGCTGCTGTGGGGAGCCTGTACGGAATCGCGGACCCTCCACCTGACCTCGGCTGGGCGGGGAGACGGCCAGGAGCTGCTCTCAGCCCCTTTCCCTGCACCACAGGCAGGTGGAGAGTTTGCCGCGGCTCCCCAAGGCTCCCTGGCTGGGCTCCACACTGGCCTGGCCAGGGGAAGGGGCAGGGAGGGAAGAGACCTGTGGACATGCCCGGTGGCTGCTCGGACCTCTCACCCAGGGCAGTTGGAGGATCCGCCACAGCTCCCCACAGCTGCCTGCATGGCTCTTACTGTGGCCCGGCTACGGCTTCAAACCACCCCCTCCCCCAGCCGGTTCCGGGTCAGGGAGAGACGCACTGGCAGCTGTGGGGAGCTGCAGCCCCCGACTCCCGCCCAGTGACCCTGCCCCCCAGCCTCTCCGCTCAGTGTCCCTGTCCCGCAGGATACCCGCCCAGGGCAGGTGGAGGATCCATGCCACAGTTCCTCAAAGCTGCCCGCCCAGCTCTTACCGTCAGAGCCCTGCATGGATACAAAATTTTTATCCGCATCCGTGCCGCTATACACAGAAATGGTCCACAGATATAAAGCGGATACCTGCGGATTTGCAGGGCTCTAGATCTGAGACACAGAGAGATTAAGGTCAAAAGTGGCCACTAATTTTGGATGCCCAATTTAAGGGCCTATGGCCTCATTTTTTACTTAGCATTCATTTTATAGCACTTTATTTCTTTAAAGCACAGCTCTTGCCTTCAGTTTCACCTCTAAGTGTTCTGCACTTCTGCAAATCTAGCCCCACATTTCTCAACTTGGGCACCCAGAAAATGAGCAACACATAGGCTATGTCTACACTAGAGACCTTACTGTACCAGTGCAGCTGCGCCACTGAAAGATCTCTCATGTAGTTGCTCTATGCTGATGGGAGAGCTCTCCCGTCAACATAATTAAACCATCCGCAATGAGCGGGGTGGTAGCTATGTCGGCAGGAGCACTGTGCACACTACCACTTATGCCGGCGAAACTTATGTCGCTCAGAGATATGGTTTTTTCACACCCCTGAGCAACAAATTTTGCCGACATAAGTGGTAGTGTAGACATGACCATAGTTACTGGCAACCTGTGAAAAGTTTAGTTTAAGTGAGTTGCCTAGCATCACAAATGATCCACAAGGGGACTTAGGTGTTAAGTCCCAGGCCTTGGCTACACTTGGGGATTGTAGTCGTGTCGCCAGCGCAGCGCGAGCTCTCTCGCAGCGCTGTAAGTACTCCAACTCTCCGAGGGGAGTAGCTTGCAGCGCTGCAAGGGAGCGTGTAGCGCTGCAGGCACTGATTACACTGGCGCTTTACAGTGCTGCACTCGCTGCGCTCGGGGGGGGAGAGAGAGGGCGTTTTCACACCCCTGAGCTCAGCAAGTTGCAGCGCTGTACAGCACCAGTGTAGCCAAGGCCCTAGTTTTAGGCATCACTGCAATCCACAATTCCCTGTCTCAGCTGCTGCCTAATCCCACAGGCACCTAAACTCACTCAGTAACTTTTTTACTGTAGATGCCTATGTTTTCTCACTTTGAGCATGTACACTGCAGCCTCACTCTAGAAGTTCAGACATCTAGCTCATGCCTAAGCCCCAGCACAATCCACAAAGTAAGGGAAATGAGGTAGTCCCCTACCTATCTTCCCTATGCAACCCAAACAGGGGAACTAGACACCCTGGGTCACCCATCTGTCAGGTGGGTGCCCTAACCACCAAGCTATAGAGTCAGCCTCGCTCTCTCACTCTGCCCTAATTACTCTAATTATTTACCCAAAGTGGAGGAACAGATTCAATAGACGAGACTGAGGAAGCCCCACATCAGAATATTCCCTATGTCTGTGGTTATGGCACTCTCCTAAGAGGTAGGAGACCCCTGTTCAAATCTTTTCTTGCCATCATACAGAAGGGGGAATTGAATCTTGGTTTCCCACATCCTGGGTGAGTGTTCTAACCACTGAGATAAAAGTTATAAAGGAGATACCTCCACCTCCCTCCTTCTCCATTTCTTGCTTAGGCACCTAAACTGCGTGGCTCCAAGAAAGGAACTCTTGGCTGTAGAATGCAGAGATAGGCATGTAAATCTCAACTACAGGTAGGTGCCTAACTCCATGAGAGAAGCAGGCTTAGGACACACCCTTCTTGTCAGCATCTCCGATTAGCTAGCTTAGGCAACTCCCCGTCTAGTGTACTGGCTTTTGTGGATCCCACTTTTAGGCACCTATTTCTCCCTATGTATTGTATAGGGAGCCTAGACACCTAATTCAGGCTTTGTGGATCCCAGTGATTACAGTGGTTTTCTAGGAACCTGAAAGCCAAGCATTGCAATTCTGAGTGTCACACCACCTAAATCCCTGTGTGGATCCAAGAGCCTCTGTGGCAGAGGCAGGAATAGAACCCATTTTTCCAGGGTAAGATTCAATTGCCTTAACCATGAGACCATCTTTTCTCTTCAGACAATACCCTGCCTCATTCACCACACACCTTTCAACTTGTACAACAAATGAGGCAGGGGGCCTATTGACAACTGCTTCATTCAATACACAGCCCCGATTAATTCCTTAAGCAGTGTCCATCTTGTGCACTGAATGAGGCAGAGGTCCTGTGGGAAAAATATGTGATCATGTAATTAAAGACTGTATTATAATGCATACACAAAAGGGGCCAATTAAGGTTGCATGGGCCTTAATTCTTTTACTTCATAACTTTTGAGTGCTTGACTTTACAACCTTAACATTCCCACTGCCAAGTACGACTGCCAGTCTCTTCTCCACTGCTAGCTACATGCTGTTTTTCTTCCTGCCATAACCTCAGCTCCTAATGTGGCCTTCCTCATCCTTACTTGCTGTTCCTAGCCTGAGGCAAGGGGTGGAAACAAGTATCAGGAGAAGCAGGTCAAGCTAAAGAGAAAGAGAGGCTCCCAGAAAGGGGAGGGGAGGTAAACTGGGAGTTGATACGGTCTAGAACAGCCCAATGGTGAGAAATCCACAATGATCCACTACAGTGGACCCCACCAAGAAACTAGCAAAATGATAAGCTTCCACGTAACTCAGACCTGTGAATTAGTTTTAGTTAGTTTCTTAAGAGCTAAACAACAGTAAGATAGAAGGTGAAAACAGAAAGAAGGAACTGTAATAAGAGAAGCTCCTCTTTGGCAGTTACAGTGGGACTCCTGCCAACTCCACTGAAAGAAAGGGAAACAACAGTTACCATAATGGGGGTGGTATTTATAATGGGAGGCACCCATGATTCATAGGTTTTGTTTAATTTAAAGTAAGGTAAGAATTTCTTACCAGATACCAGGTGACATTAGGACTTTGTCAACTACTTATATATACCTCCAAAAACAAGGTCATGTTATAATGGGTTAAAACTGGTTATGCTTGGGGGGGGGGGGATGTATTTTAGGGTTAAAATAGAAGAATACAAAATAATAGTGCATTTTGCATAAACTATTTAAAAGTATTTCTCCAATACTTAGTGCACCAACTGGTATATTAGGGGGAAATCATTTTGGGCACCAATTCAGTGTTCTTGGAGTCCTAACAGATTCCAAATATGTTTGAGTTGCAGTAGTCAAATTATGGAGATCACTGGCTCTTGAACATGCTGTGCATGAAAAGCACCATTACTGTATGTAAGTCCATGAAACATCTATACCTCTCAGACTAATTTTTCTCATTACAGTAGGTGGTGATCAAAACATCACTTTTATACCTAATTAAAAAGGCTGTTTTGTTTTTTATAAGATCTTTTGAATTTTACCTATACGGGCATTCACCAGTAGCAACTAGGCTGCACTGGTGCTACAGATTTCTTTACATCAAAGCCCCACAAGAGCATGTTATTTTTTTTTAAGAGAATCTAGCACGATAGGATTTAGACAATTGTTACCATTCAGTTCAGTCATTGGCACCATGAATCAAACTTCCCATGTGTGCACATGCCAGCTTCCCCTAGAACACTTAGCTGTTGCACCAACCAACTATAAGTAGTATCTGATTAATGGGAAGCCAGCTTCACATACTATTTTGATCTGCCAGTGAAAAGAATGTAAAAATGTAGCTTTATCATGATTTCTGGGTAGTGGACGGAGTTTACTTTTATCCTTGTTAGTTTAAAATATCTGCATCCAGAGGAAGCAAAATCTGACCCTAGCAGTTTCTGATCCTGAAAAGACCAATACTGTACCAGTAGAGTGTGTTGCAAGTCTGATTTGAGGGGCATTATAGCAGCTGTGGGGGGAAGCTTGCCCACTGCCTGCTTGTATTATGTCTGGCTCAAATCTAGACAGTCTCACTTCATGGAGCACTAAAAAGAACTACAAAAGAGAAAACTACTGATTCTGTAGCTCCCTAATCTCTGTTTATATGCTTACAAACTGCCTAACATACAATACATGGATTGTTATTTACAGTTTATATTGCAATTAGCTTTGCTCTGGTTTCAGAAAATGTCAGCAAGTGAAGGAAAAGTAATCTGTAAAAATCTATTTGTAGTGTTAAAGGCACTTTACTGTATGGAGACAAAGTGCTTAAGGTCTGGATTCAGTTAAAACATATTCAATATTTGCCTAATAGAATAATTTATGATACAGAAAGGTATATGAAATAGATTTCTTGGTTCCCTGAACTTTATATAGATCTTATGTAAACTGGTAATAGTTTTATATGCAGCAAGATGACTGCAGTATTACCTTAAATGGAGGAGAATAGCCATCACTATGTCAGTGTTTGAATAATCTGCCTATTAAAAGGTGAGGGAGGGGTAGAGGTTGGAGCTACTATTTCTCTGTGATTCCCTCTTAACCCTCACCTTCCAGAATATGACACAAAACACTGAAACAAGCTTTGAAACACAGCTGAAAATAGAATGCAATGTTAAGTCACCATAAAACAAAGGAAATAGTATCTTGCTATTGTTTCCAATCCTTTTCAACTCTGTTGGGGATATTTGCTTTAGGACACTGAACTCAAGTTAAGAATAAGTCTTATAGAGTAGGTAGGAGGCGCCATAATTTTAATTTAATAACAAAGTAAAATGTATCTCACCTTTGAAAACTGCTCCTGTCTCTTAAACACACACTGGAAATCTGTGGAATCATCTCCACAACTTTCTTGGTTGGCTCAGAAATGCTGCTTTTATAATCTGAATGGGTTTCCTTTTGCTGCAATAGCTCCTGTTTGGCATATTCTTTGAGCCTCTTGTACAGCGTGCGCAGGCCCTGTGCAGTACGAGGAGGACGATCTACTCCGATGGCATTGTAGTTATCGGCTATGATATCCCAGCATTTGTTTTTTTCCACTATTACTGAATGCTTATTGGTATGTTCTTCAAGAATTTTAACATACGGCTTCACAAGTTTTAGCAAATCAAGCTTTTCAGATAAGGTAAAATTAGAAGATCTGGCCTTCCCAACCATTGTTATCTCTGAATTAAGGAGGCAGTTTTTGAAACCACCATGCAGTCCCTAGCTCTGCTCAGCTCTTTTTCGCAAACAGAAAAAGATCAGGCTTAACTAGGCTAGTCTCATTTAGGCCCACGCCTACAAGGGAGGGTTTATTAAAATTCCTTCAGCTTAAGCTGACGCAGGTTCAGGAAATCTGCTTAAGCCAAGCCTGACCTACATAAGGCTTCAGACTGAAGACGACGGGAAGAAACAAGCAAAATACACTTTAGTATGAAGGGACCAGACACACAGGATTTAAAAACAGAAAGGTTTAAAGATAAGCATGTTACCCAGCTGAAATTTAACCAATTTAGCTTGAGTAAAAAGCTCACACAGATCTCTAGCTGAAAAACTGAAACTGCTCTGAGATTTTAAATTTAATAATGTCAAAAAAGCAACAATTGTTTTGTGTAATGTATTGATTGTTGAAATTAAACACAACAGCAGACGAGATAAAAACTAGAGAGATAAGTGTGGCGTGTGTAGAGAGATCCCTAACAGAGCCCCTGATCACTGTTCCCCAGCTGCTGTTAGCTCTTACAACATTTGCATAATGCTAGTCCTGCTGTCAATCAGGAATTGCATATCCTCTAGCTAGTTAGGTTACACTCAGACTCAGACTTCACAGTAAAGCTAAGCTTCTCCTGCATTTTGCAGGCTGCTTTAGCTACCTACACACAGGCGTTTTAAAGAAGCAGTCTCTGTTAATGATAAAACATTTATCTAGAGCAAAAACAAAAAAGAGATATACATGAACAATTAATTGTCCTTTAGCTTCTGCCTGCAGCTGTGCCCTGCTAAAACATGCCTGTCCTGTAATGTGTATGTCATCAACATTCAGTCTGCAGTGCCTAAGAAATGGCAAACTCCCAGTCTGCATGTAATAAAGGTTACATTCAATCATGACAGATTTACCGAGTGTATTACAGTGTGTAGATACTGGGATTTTCATACTATCCACCAGGAAAAAAAATCTACTTTTATGATAATACTTCCAGGCATTCTTTCAGTGTCAAATATTTTTATTAACAAGATGCGCATGCTGTACCAGTGCTAATCATTCTGCATAGCTAATATTTTTCAAAAGTCTCACTTTAAACACAGTCTTATTTAAAAATACATATACCAGGTTTTAAACGTCTATGGTCTAAATTAAACCAACAAAATCTGAGAAACACAAGAACTTATAAAAGCTAAGGACAAGAATGGTTCCACTTAAAAAGGGGGAGCTTGTAGGGGGTTACTGTGTACAGTTCTGAGCACCAAGTTTGAAAAAGGACGTCCATGACTGCAAAGTCAAGAGTTTGAAAATGAGCTTGGGATACTGGCAACAGCTTCTCAAGCTTACCATGTTTATCCTTGAAAAACATAGGCTAGGATGGGGGTGAAGGGGAAGAAATCTAATTATAGTTAAAAGTATCTAAAGGCAATAAAGACAGATCTAGGTAGGAGTGTGCTCATTCGTTTGGACTGCATTCAAAGCAAGATTAAATAGAGTTTCTTAAAGTTCTGAAGCCTATTGTAGATGCAACTTGAGAAACAAAACTCTTATTTGGAGTGTGAGCAGTTGGTAAAAACACTGCTTTTTATGCTTAGCTTGCCCGCTTTTTCCCATGCTTTGCTCTTTGCCTATAGTAATGTCTAGTGTGAAAGATTGAGGTGTCTGACCCTGAATGAGAGGACCATCAATTATGAATGACTCTATGGGAACAATGGTATTTTCCAAAGAGAGTAATCAAGCAAAAAAACTGATTCTCCCAGTTTGTCTCTAAGAGGGGCTAGGGCTTTAACCACCTGACTAGGACACTGAAGCCAGTGAATGAGTCACATTACAGAGGGGACAGAAACTTTACTTAAGGTGAAGATTTACTCTACTCCCTCTCGCACCAACCAACCATTGCCTACAACAAGAGGACTGCAGGAGGGGCCTACTACGCCCTGAGGACTCACAAGAAGGCGTAAGGGCATATAAGTTCTTGTTGTTTCGCCTAAAGATCTGTAACTCTTGTATGCTTTGAGAGTAAAAAGTTACTTTGGTTTTAGAAACTCCTGTGCAAAGCCTCTATTCCTGACTTTACCTGCCACGTGGTCACCCAAGAGTTCAGCTATAAACTAGAGTATCCAAAATGGAATGGAACTCTGGGGGAATAAGCGTCAGTAACTGGAGCGATTTAGGAAGTCCGGGACTGGTCTTAAAGCCTATTGCAGTTGGACTGTGAAGTCTCAAGTCCCAAGGAAGGATTTCCGGCAAGGATCTGCACCTAGGAGTGAGCCTTACAGGCCCAAATCTAAAGATCATGGTGGGACACTGCCCAAAGCCAGTTGGCTTGGAAGAACATGGAATCCAAAGGCTGAGTCCTATTACTACATACTGGTGACCCAAAACTAAGAGGACTCAGGCAGGTCTGTACAATGATCATTAAAGTGCCTGGAGCCTTCCCATTTCCCCTGAATGAAACATATCCTAAGCCTTCATTTGACGACCCTAATTGCTTCCCCCAAATTTCTATCTACAACTCCAATGTTTCCACAGCTCTTGACCAACTTGTAACCTACCAGTTTCAATTCTCATTCCACTCACTCACATGCTTCAGTATGTGTATTAACTCAGTTAATTCAAGTGCACAAATCAGAGCTCACTTAACTGGGACACTTGAAAATCTCAATACACTGTCTATTGCCTACTCCTGTGGGAATTCTGTGCCACTGTGCATGCACAGAATTTATGTCCCCCGCAGATTTCTTTCCTTCCCCGCAGAAAAATGCAGTATGTTTCGGTGCCCAGGGCAGCCAGCAGAGAGGTAAATCACTGTGGGGCAGGAAGCGGGACTGGGAAGACCTGGCTGGTGGCTCCTACCCTGTGCCAGGCTCAGCTGCTAGTCCAGGCTGGGAAGGATGAGACTTCCTCTTCCCCCACACAGCATCCGGGGCTGGGTCAAACCCACCCCCAGATTTCTCCCCCTGCTACAGGAAGCTCTGCAAAATCCCTTCTCCTCGCCCCCCCCTCCCCCACCGCTTCTTGCGCCCATCGCTCCTCAGCTGCAGGGGGAGGGATTCCTGTACAGGGAACTGCTCCCCCATCCACACAACCCCTGTGCATCCAGACCCCCTCATACCCAGACCCTGCCATTGAGCCTCACCCCCCTGCACTCAGAATTCCACTGATAAGCCCCACTCGCCCTGCACCTGGACCACCCTGACGAGCTACCCGCACCCCCACCCAACCAAGCCCCAACCAGTTGCACATGGATCCCCACCCCACAGAGTCCCACTCCCCCAGCATCTGGACCCCCTACTGAGCCCCACACATACCCAGAACCCCCACACCCAGGCCCCCCGCACTGAGCCCCAACCACCTTCACCTGGACCCCCCTGCAGAGTTCCATTACCACTGCACCCAAAAAATCCCAACAAGCCCCTGTGCATCCAGACCCCCTCCTGACCCAGATTGCCCCATACAGAACCCTCTCAACCCACACCTGGATCCCCCCACACTAAGCCCCTCCACACTTGGATCCTGCCTTGCTGAGCCTGCCTCCCCACACCTGGTATGGAGGAGCAGGGCTCTGGGGTGTTTCTGGGGCAGGCCTGGTCCTTGCACTGTGTCAGGGTTGGGTGCAGCCTCACTACTGAGTCCATGTCCCGGGGGTGGGGAGAAGCTGCACAGTGATTTCCCAATTCTGTGCAGCCAGTGGCCTTCCATTGCTCCCCAATGCCCCATGCTGGAGCCTCCACATTTCTTTGACAAATAAAATATGCAGAATTTTAAAATATTGTGTGCAGAATTTTAATTTTTTCGGTGCAGAATTTTTATTTTTTTGGCACAGAATGCCCTCAGGAGTAATTGCCTCATTACACAAAGCCTTGTTATTCATGTGACAAAGTGAAATCAGACTATCAAATTATGAACTCTGTGTTACACAATATGTGAAAATATTAGCACTGTGACTGTTCAAGTCTGGACTTGGCCCAGGACAGCCTCTTGTACTGCATTCCAGACAGCTGCCCTGCCTGGGAAAGGTGTTAGACACCCTGAAGGACTAACACTGATCCCATCAAGGCAGAACAGATAAAACTAATTTCTTATTAACAATATTCACAAAGGCTCTAGAGGCCAACCCCCTAGCAACAAACCAAGAAATAAACAAATGGTGCAACTCTGTGGACCTACGTACATTGTAAATAAAACCATGCCAGAGGTTTTGTTATAAAATTATTCAAATTTCTAAAGTAAATATGACCTTAACTGTTTAAGCATGATAACATGTCCAAGGGGCATTAATGTCAAGGGAAATATGGCCAATGCTTTAGCCCGGTTACAAAACATGGTCACAATCCTGGCTACACTATAAACTGGAAAAATAGTATAACTCATTCACAGAACAATAGTGGTGTAATCAGGTCTCCCAAGCAGTTGTATATGAAGCTGTGGTGAGTTAGGACGCTCTGTACAACTTATGAATTCTATTTGATACTGGGGGATCTTTGCAATCTGCACCGATGCATACAAACTCCATCTGAATATGCAGCCTTTTATCTTTATTACCTGTTTGCATGGGCAGCGGGTGAACGGTGGGCTCTGGGAGTCTAACTCCCGCCCTGGCTGGCCCCTTCTGCCTGACGCCCCCTTTCCCCCGCTGGAGCTCAGAGCCCCCACCCCTACTGCAGCCGCCGCCGCTACCCCCCTTTTCACCCCAGCCGTCCAAGCGCTGGGTGAGTGGCACCCCCCCCCCCCCCGGCTGCTGCGGTCCCACTGCTGAGTGGCCCAAGCACTGAGCGAGTGGCTCCAGTGCCCCCAGCACGAGGTGGGCAGCCCCAGCGCCTCCAGCCCCCCCCCCCCCCGCCTTCCCTCGAGAGCTGCAGGCCCAACATTCCCAGCCTTGGAGAACCAGGCAGCACGGCCCTGGGCGGCGCCAGCCCCCCAAGTCCTGGCCACAGGGCAGCTGCCCTAGCCCCAGCACACTTCCCTGAAGAGGAGCAGCCTACCTGGGTTGGGGCCAAGGGGGAAGCAGCAAGCAGGAGGGGGCCTTGGGACTGAGTGTGGACAGGGTCACGCGGGGCTGTTTAGAGAGGCATAGCTTCCCCCAGCCTACAATACGCACTGCCCATGCCTGTTTGCCTCCACATTGGGCTGAAATTCCAAAAGCTGGTGGCAAAAAAACAATAGGGAGTCATTAAACTTTGACAACTGGTTATCCAAAGAGATAGCTCCTACCCAGGAGAATTGCTTTGTCTGGGGAGAGATTGCCTTGGCAATGAAGTCATCTGGCAGGGTTCTCTGGTCACCTGGCAATGGCTCCAGTGGAAAGAGGAAGGTTATAAAGAGGGAGGAGCTGATCTTTCCTGGGCCATTTTTTCTCTAGCTCACCAGGAGGGGGAGAGAGAAGCAGCCCAGCATGTCAGGGCCTCCAAAAGGTATTGTCTCCCTTCCTGAGACTACATGGTCCCCCTCCAAGGACTCCCAGGAGTAGGGTGAGCTAGTAAGGGGCACTGCAGTTAGGATGTTTATTGTTTTCTAAATGATATCCACACTTTCTTGTATTTTATATTATTAAGGAAGAGAGCCCAGAGTGTAACACAATTACTGAGTGTCTGAGTGTGTTTTATGCTTCACAATTACTACAAGGCTTCCAAGATAGTTGAACTGTAAATCAGAAGCTTCATACTTTTGGGGAGGAGTTCTAAGAGAAGGTATGTTTATGTACAGGGAGTCTGGAGAGTCAGCATTGTGCCCACAGGGGCTATGTAGCTGCACAGTGGATTCCTGCTCTCAGGATAAGGAGCTAGATAGCAGGTCTGTACCCCAAGAATGGGCCTAGGGACCCCAATATTGGGACATTG